GGCCCTGGGACTACGTCTCGGGCTTACCTTGCCAGTCACCGACCAGCGCCCCTACAACAAAGAACGGTCTGCCACCACAGATAAGAGCCTACCCAACCACCTGTTACGCTTTGGGGAAGGGGGAGACTGCACCAGAAAACACAACGCATTGGTCTACGCATGCCTACGCATGGCTCAAGAGGCTAAGTACATGACATTGCATGAGACTACGATATCTTCACCGCCGGTGGATCGGAAGTAGGCGGATCTGAGCATCCGTGACTCAGAGACAGCTGGGACATGGGTGACAGACGTCACCATGACGAACCTGGTTCTGCAACAGCGGGATCTAGAGGCAGCAAGGGCCCCAGGGTGGGCGGCTGAGGAGGCGTGCATCAGCAAGCACAAGATGTACCAGGAGAGGCTGACGTGTGTGGTGTTCCTGGGACTAGCGGTAGAGACCTATGGCGCATTAGCGGCAGACATAGTCAAATTCTATTGTATATTAGCCACTACTGCCGCCAAGAGGGGTTCCCGCCACAGTCCACAGACCACGGTGACAGTAAGGCTCAACGCCCACTACCACCAACGCTTCTCTGTGATGCTTCAGCGATGCCAGGCGACGGGGCTGCTCACCAAGTCCCACCGAGCGGCGAAATCATCCTCCCCGCAGGAACCAACAGACCCATGAGAGCCACGGTTGGGCGAATTATGGCAGGTGCTGGAGGGCGGAGTAGGGAGCTGAGTGGTTGAGTGGGGGAAAGGGGAAAGGGAGGGTGAGTGCTAGGTGAGCGTGACAGCTCCGGCCTGGGTTGCATAGCTAAGGTTGCTCTGCATGCTCTGCTTAGCCTGCCTGCGTAGCTATGATTGCCTTGCTGTGTCTACCCAGTTGTGCCTCGCATTGTGACCTTTACCTTGCCAGGTCGTGCTCGTTCCATACCTGCCCCTGCCTTGCCCGTCGCCATTGTAGGCCTTGCATGATGGATTGCTTGTCTATACTAGCATTCTCTATGTCACATTCCTGCCATGCCTATAAGACTATTAACATATCAATGCAGGACTGCTTGAATCCACGGCTTACTGTCTAGTGGATGAGCAGACGACGGACCTAACGATGATGGACCAGAGCTCAGGTGCAGTCTACATCTGCGATGTTACTATCACGGATCCAATCAGTACCCGGGACAAGACGGCGGTGAAAGGCAGGGGATGGGCAGCGAGAGAGCAGGCGGATAAGAAGATCAAACACTATGCTAGTCGGCCTGACACTGTGGGATTTTTCCCCCTAGCCGTTGAGACGTATGGGTGTCCATGTGCGGAGGTGCCTGCGTTCCTGAAACTGCTGGTGGATTCTGCTCCTAGGCGACACTTCAACGCCGAACCTAAATCCTTTCATGCAGCTAGATTCCTCCACCTTTTCAGGCAGAGATGGTCAGTGGTGCTACAGAGGGCTCAGTCGGTGGGGTATCTCATGAAGTCATGCTAGGCAGCTATGGCAAAACACCCACCTGTTGGGGGAACACAACACGAGCTCCACCTTGGTGATTGCCCTCACTCTCATTGAGCCCCTGGTGGAGGTTTAGAGGGGCAGGCCACATGATGTTTGGTTAGTTTGTTGGTTTGCTTGTATCTTGCTAGTTTAGTTTCTTCATGTTGACAGTTGCTGAACCCTGCATGTTTGTACCTTTCGCTATATCAATTCATGGACCATTAAAGAGCGAGAGAGAGAGAGAGAGAGAGAGAGAGAGAGAGAGAGAGAGAGAGAGAGAGAGAGAGAAAGAGAGAGGAAGAGGGAGAGAGAGAGAGAGAGAGAGAGATAGATAGAGAGAGAGAGAGAGAGGAGAGAGAGAGAGGGGGGGGGGGAGGGAGGGAGAGAGAAAGAGAGAGATTGTGATGAAGAGTATAACCACATATATATTGGGTGAGGAATAAGGCTGAGTTTGTCATACTATTATAGTATAATTTTCAGTATTCCTACAAGGAGGGAGGCTTTAGAGAAGGCGACTTGGGCACAAAGGAGCGACTTGCGCTGTCGCCATTCTGGACCTAATCCAAAAAGGATGGCGTTCACTAAGACATCATCAATGAAGTTCCTTACCCATTTCTTAAATCAATTTCTCATTTTTCTGCGGCAATTGATGCAGGGTCCTGCCATTTCTCTTTTGTTTTGTAGCAATTTTCAAGTGCTCGACAAGGAGTGTAGCACGGAAGGGGGCTCTGGAGATGGCGACTTGGGCACAAAAGAGCGACTTACTCGGTCGCACAAAGGATGATAGTCACGAAGACATCGTCAAGGAAGTTTTTGGCCCATTTCTTGAATTTGATTCTCTTTTTTTTTTTTGCAGCGATTAATGCAAGGTCTTGCCTTTTTACCCAACGCCATTCTAACCCAAGGTTGTTGTCATGTACATTCCCCACAGTTATTCGCAAACAATTGTGCGGGAGCCCATTGATACTTGAACGAATGAGATGCCCGGTTGCTCAGGTTTGAGGTGTAGGTGTCCATTTCCGTCGAAGAGGGTGCTCGTCTTGAGATTTGACTTAGGAACTTCTGCTAGCACGTGGAAATGTGCTCATTGCTTTTGTGCAGTTGCTTGAGCGTGGCGATTGTCGAAGGTGAAGGACCTTAGGTTGACTCCGATTGGTGATGCGGGGGATTAGCTGCTCAATGATAGTAGTGCCATCGAATATCACACCACAAGGACGATTGGTTGAACGTGTGACTAGGTTTTCTCCTACCTCATCTCTATCAACACTAGGCATTGTGAATTTCTTGTAAATGAGGTTTTGTTCAGAGTTCTATGATAGACTTGTCGGCAATCCTTATAATCCAACCTCGCTCACGTACAATGTTGTTATAATCTCATAAGAATCTGGATATGATAAGGAACTCTTGAGAGAGGAAGTCTTGGTTAGACCTTCTGGCAGTGAATGTAAAGAGCAAGATATATATTGAAAAAAAGAAAAAGAAAAGGAAAGAAAAACAGCATAGTAGCTTATAGGAGCTTGGAGAGGTTAGGAGAGTTGAAAAGGAAGGAGGGATTTGACGAGCACGAGATGGTGAAGCAGTGTACGAGGCACGAGTAGGCAAGGTGCACCACCAACAGTTGAAACAAATAGATACAACTATGCTTTAGAAAGTTATGTACTTTGGACAACCCCCTTTAATTGTATGCAGCAAGAACTGGTTACACCTCATGTGAGTAGGGAAATGAAGGTTGGCACCCATCAAATGCGGCACAATGACTGACGGGCAGCAGGAGGCGCGCGATTGGCGAGCAGTTCCAGCAAGAAGAAACACAAATGAAGAAGCACAAGTGAGGAGTTGCGCAGCAAGCAAGAAGACAATGAAAGTGAGGAGGAGGAGGAGCACTAAGCCCGCGGAGAGGAGCAGCGGAAGTAGTTGAAGCGGAGGTAGGTGCAGCAGAAACAGCAGCGGCGTCTTCAGGTGCAGCGGCGCCAGCATGGCATTTGCAGCGACTTCAGCAGATGCAGCGGCGACAGCCGCACGTCACCAACGGTGTCATCCGTCACGGCCGCCATCCCCGCTGCCTCCCCCCACATTAGCAGCCGCGCCAGGGCTAAGGGCGCTGCTGGTTCTTCAAGTGTGGTGGTGGCAAGCGAGGCGGGTGCCTCATCGATCGCTCGCGTATATCATTTCATTACGAGTATAACCGCGCCCTAAGCTCGCTAAAAAGAAAGACAAAACAACAAGTCCCTATACTCGAATTTGAGTATCAAATTACAGCAAACGCATAGAAATGTGTAAAATAGGAGGGGGTCCAAACATACAATACCCGAAAGATGGGCATTGTATCAATGATTGAAATTATAGATGTAACAGAATCACTATTGAAGGAATTCACTAAAGAGAACAGTGCAGATCACTGCACTTGCTCGCACCAATTGCACCTGCCATGTTACACTGTTGATACCTCCCATAGAAAAGACGCGGTAATGTGGACTGGACACTGTTGCCAGCCACACAATCAACGTTTTTGGAACGACTTGAAAGCCACGACGACTTGTTGAACATGAGCGACTTCAGATTTTTTAACGAGGCGTGTGTGCTGTGTTCCAACGAATCGAATGATGCTCCGGCGGATGATTCAGCAAGTTTCTGTTGTTGAGTCCCCAAGAAGGATCAAACCAGGGCTGCCCGGCGTCGAAGTTTTAAGGCTCCCAGCGTAAATGTAATTTGAGATACAGTGCATGTGTTTGGGAGATAATTGATATACCATAGCTTGAAGCTGTCTCTTCAATTGCTAAATCAGGATACACTCATGTTAGGAAAAATGAATCTCAAAGGGAATGACAAATTGCAAGTCAAACTGCATTGTACGGTCATACGAGCCTTGCTTGCGTCACCCGGCTTCAGTTTCCGTTCCGAGCAACATGGCGGTAAGGGCGGATTTGCTTTCCCTAGCTGGCGCCAGCTCGGATTGAGATCCTCAGGAGTGCCGCCTTGTGGGCGCTGACATCCAATTTCCGCTGCAAGGAGACTGTCTGCCTTTTCTTGTCACATCACATCACTCATTCGCGAATCGCGCTTGTTGAGCTGGGAGAATGACAAGCGAATCGCGCTTGTTGAGCTGTTCGATACAACAGTGTTGAGCCCCTATGCTCATTAGTTTCTTGAGTGAACCGGTCTTGCAAATGTTACAAGATCGAAGCCGGTTACCTTCTTCGCAGCCAATTTGAGTCTTTGAAAATTATGAAATTTTTTGAAAGTGTGTAACACTTTCTAAAAATATGTATTATGAAAGCGCAGCTGACTGCATCGAAGCAAGGCAACTGCGAATGCCTATTCCCGACTACATAATGAGGGCTGGAGGCCATTTGGCCTCCACCCACGTCTTCATTTTCGGAACTTGACAGTTCCGCTTCATTCTCGTCCAACCACTCGCAATTTTTTCTCCTTATCAATTTCAGAAACAACCACCGAGACATTTTTTCAAGTAGCTAGGATGTTTACGCTGAAGGGCCACATGATAGTGCCCGTGATTATACTTGGCGTACGTTCAACTGAGACAGAAGTGCGCCGGACGAAACGGCCACTGGCGCGCCAGAGACGAAATCGCCGCTTGCGCCAGTGGCACGCGCCAGAGACGAAATCGCCAGTGGCGCGCGGCAGGGACGAAATCGCCACTGGCGCCAGTGGCGCGCGCCAGTGACGAAATCGCCAATGGCGCCAGTGGCGCGTGCCACTGACGAAATCGCCACACGCGCGCCTGTGGCGAAATCGCCACTTGCGCCAGTGGCGACATTGCCACTAGCGCGTCAGGGACGAAAGGGACACAGGCGCAGCAGTGACGAAACTGCCACTCTAGCGCCTGTGCCATTGACTGCAGCGTCACCCACCTGCGCACCTTGTCACCTCACCTACACATTATGTTATGATGCATATGCTGCAAATCTTCTCCAGACTTTTCCTCATTTTTTCTTTCTTTTATTTTCTGTTGTTTCTTATTTCTGACTATTTCCGATTTGATTTTTATTCCTTGGTGGCAGAAAACCGGGCACATGATGACGATGGTGAAGGGACGCGCACCAAACTCCACCACTCGTGCGGAAAATCGCAACGATTACCGGACCTACTCCACGCACACCCAACGACGTTCTCGATGAACTCGAGGACCGCGAGTCGCAACGTCGCCCCGAGAGCCGTCCCCCAGGGGGGGAGGGGACCGAGGGTCCCCATGCTGGCCTGAGAGCCGTCCCCCAGGGGGGGAGGGGACCGAGGGTCCCCATGCTGGCCTGAGAGCCGTCCCCCAGGGGGGGAGGGGACCGAGGGTCCCCATGCTGGCCTGAGAGCCGCCCCCCAGGGGGGGAGGGGACCGAGTGTCCCCATGCTGGCCTGAGAGCCGTCCCCCAGGGGGGGAGGGGACCAAGGGTCCCCATGCTGGCCTGAGAGCCGTCCCCCAGGGGGGGAGGGGACCAAGGGTCCAAATGCTGGCCTGAGAGCCGTCCCCCAGGGGGGAAGGGGACCGAGGGTCCCCATGCTGGCCTGAGAGCCGTCCCCCAGGGGGGGAGGGGACCGAGGGTCCCCATGCTGGCCTGAGAGCTGTCCCCCAGGGGGGGAGGGGACCAAGGGTCCCCATGCTGGCCGGAGAGCCGTCCCCCAGTGGGGGAGGGGACCAAGGGTCCCCATGCTGGCCTGAGAGCCGTCCCCCAGAGCGCCACTGCCTTAGGGAGGGAAAGAAAACGGACAAAAACTGAGATTGGGAAAACCACACTTACCGGTATTATGCAGGTGGATATGTTGTAACCTTGGCTATTATGTTTCAAGTTATGAATGATTAAAAAAAAAAAAAAAAAAAAAAAGAGCAGTCCTCTCTGTCGTTGGATGTTGGAGCCACACCACACCACAAGCTATGTTTGGTTCGGACTAAGCTTACTAAGCTTTCGGCCTCTCGCGCTCAGTTACGACGGGCATATGTTTTCGTATATGAATGTACCACCAGTGTAGAGTGAACATTAAAAAAAAAAAAAAAAAAAAAAACAATGTTTGGACTTACCGGGGTAAGGTTGGTAGTGTGCAACTACCAGTGGCAAGGATAGATATTGGATCTGATTTTGACACTCACCTACACGCAATCAAGTTATCAAACGAGGGTTGCATGGAGAGAAACATGCCTCTTAACCGTCACCACATTCACTCCTACCGCACCTCAGTGTTGTCACTTTTGACAATATACGGGAAATATAATAATGTACGGTACCAAACGTCAATACAACTTGCATTTAATTACCCACTAATTGCTCGCACTTCGACAACCTACAGGCAATGTGTTGAGAGGAGTACGGGACTCACATGGGTGGCAGGCGCACTTGTTGTCGTTGTCCTGTCTCGCCATCATACCGTAGTACCACATACGGATGAGCAACCGAGAGACCAAGAGACGAGCAACCGAGGGGCCAAGAGATGACCAGCAGATGGGCCACAAGACGAGGATCCGAGGAGCCAAGAGATGACCAGCAGATGGGCCACAAGACGAGGAACCGATGGGCCAAGCCAAGAGATAAGATGCCGATGGGTCATGAGATGAGCAACTGATGGGCCAAGAGAGGGAACCGATGGGCCAAGCCAAGAGATGAGATATTGATGGGCCAAGAGATGAGCAACTGATGGACCAAGAGATGAGCAACCGAGGGGCCAAGCCAAGAGATACGATCTCGATGGGCCAAGAGATGAGCAACTGATGGGCCAAGGGATGAGCAACCGAGGGGCCAATCGGTAACCAGCGGATGGGCCACGAGATGAGGTACCGATGGGCCAAGAGATGAGCAATCGATGCGCCAAGCCAAGAGATGAATTATTAATGTGCCGAGAGATGAGCAACTGATGGGCCAAGGGATGAGCAACCGATGGGCCAAGAGATGCGTGATGGATGGGCCACGTGATGAGCAACCGATGGGCCAAACCATGAGCAACCGATGGGCCAAGAGATTAGCAGCCGATGGGCCGAGAGACGACCAACAGATGGGCCAAGAGATGGGCAACCGATGTGACAAGAGATGAGCAGCCGATGGGCTAATAGACGAGCAACCGATGGGCCAAGAGACGAGCAATCGGTCGGCCAAGAGATGAGCAACTGATAGGCCAAGGAAGGAGCAACAGATAAGAGACCCAAATTAAATGAAGCACGTTGCCTTGCAAGAACCAGAAAGCAAGCTTTCTTAATATCCGGGGTCACTTCAGTTCGCCATTTTTTTATGAGAATGGACAGATTACGGGTTTAGTATATGCTACCGCGTAACAGCACCTGACACGCCTTCTCGTTTCGCACCCCCGTCTCCCTCTCAAACTCGTTCCTGGATGTCAAACCTTGTACCTCCTCTTCTCGTGAGATAGTCCAAGTTTCCCGACTTACCACCATTGAATATTCTGCTGTTTGGGCTCAGACAACCTGCTTACTACGTCGAACGACGATGGACCACACGGTTGAGGCTTACGGTGCAGATGGGATCGATATCAGCTCTGTCTCTGCCATTGCCAAGAGCCATGATCGCGTCAAATCTATGCTGCCGGCGGGGTTACTGTCAGCCGTGAACGGAGACGGCCACACGTGGCTCAAGTACGGCGAAAAGCACGTCGCGAACCACGTCATCAGGTGCTGAGAAAATGTGGATCTTGTTTTTCATAATTTTCTCGGTAAAAACCGTTCATTTAATGAAAACCAATGAGTTTTGTTTCTTCTTCTTCTTCCTCTTCGAGAAAATATATTCACTGTTATTTCTAATCGTGATATTTGTTCCTCTCGCGTGTTCTCTATTTTTTTATTATGTTCCCTTATCCTCATTAGCAGGTCATACTACAAGTGCGTCTGGTCGAAGAGCCCAGAAGCATGCCCTGCTAGAAAAACCGTCGACTTCGACCCTACGCGCCGAACCAAGCACCCTAATCTCTCAGCCACTGCCTTTAGCGGGTCTTGCCGCGACACCAGCGCAGCGCGGCACGGTCTGGTGGTAGCCGCCGCAAGTCTGCCAGCGGACGCCGCCAGCAGCGAGTCGGAATGTCACGAGCCGGTCGCGGTCGTCACGGCGTACCGCAATAGTCACAACCATCAGAAGCGCGGGCCTCCCCCGCGCGGACACAAGCGGCGGAGGCCCCGAACAGAGAAGTCGGCGGAGGAGAGCAGCAAGAGAGTAATGAAATCACCCAGGTCTCTCCAAGCTCCAAACTCGAGAGCGTGGAAGCTTGCGAATACCTTTACTGGTACCTGTGTGGTCAACTTTGAGCTTGGGGCGACGGAAGGGGGAGGTTATGCTACGCACGTTCTTCCACATGTCCCTTCACATTCCTCTCCGTCCCCTCCTCCGCCTGGAAAATCAGAGGAACAGGCGAGCGGGCGCCAGGAGCAAGGATACGAACCGCAGCTGCAGTGCCGTACTTCTTACGCTGCTTCGCTGGGAGATGTGGACGAGTTTCCGGAGTGGTTGATGGAGGCGGTTTGCGGTATCGACACTTCTGGCATCGATGACGCCTCTTGGCTTTCCAATACCCTTGCAAATCTGGACAGAAGCGCCTGCTGTCCAGAGGATTATTGGGATCTTCCAAAACATCAAGATGGAATCGACCACCCTCAAGCCCAGCAGGGGCCCTGGAACAAAGTAGACCACGCCGCATTTCCTCCCTGCGCCCCTCGCAAAGACGCGGGTGCGCGGCCACCGAGAGCCCCTGCGTTGGGCCATGGCTCCTCGTCGTCCAGCAGCAGCGCTGCATTGTCGGCACCACGAGACAGCAAGAGTGAAGGCGAGATTGTTAATGAAGCGCCGCAAATATCGTCTCATCTCAGCGCTGGATCGTCGACGCTGCGAGATGGCAAGATGGGAGATGTGGTGGGGCTGGGCGGCACGTGTGGGCGGGCAGGGGCTGTGGTGGAGCAGGAATGGTTTTCTTGCGAAAAAGCGATGGATGTGAATGGCTGGCAGTGTGGTCTGGATGGAGAGAGTAAAATGGAGAGGGTTGGAGCAGAAATGTTTCAATCGAGCACGCAGCAGCACCACCACCTGCAGCGTGTGTACCACCACCCTGTGTTTGATGTGCTTGGGGGAGGAAATAGCATGAGCGTTTGGGATTTCATCAGTTGCCACGACTGACCGAACCCGCACAGCATGATTTTCATGTCATCATCCGGTAATAATATACCTAGGTGGCGCCAGCCTTGAATGGATGCTGCTGCTGGTGCTGGTGGCGACTAACTGGGATGCTACTCTAGACTTCCTTGCCCGCCAACTTACTCCATCAAAATGGGGAATCATGCACTATATGCGACATACTATGCACTGTATGCATTGTAATAATATAATACTAATACTACATTCATGCATACTAGTTTTCACAGCAAGCATCTCTTTCTGCCTTCGACATCGCAGTAGATTTAGCTTTGAACATCTTTGACCATCCTAGGTACTAAATCTGTATGGGGTGTAATGCCACTATAGCCTGTAAAATTCCGTGTAACCTGGCGAACTGCCTGCGATCGCAAGCGAAGTGTGACTCATTCTCCACGACCCTGGTTCTTCGTTTCCTTATAAAGTAGTCACTTGAAAGCTCCAGTTAATTCGTTCGAAGGACGCCGCGGGAAGCCCCTCAGAATAATCTGCACGAGCGGAAGGCATCTCGCCGGAACTGCCCGCGAATGAGCCCCAGCGCGTTGATCGGCGTCGTGATCGACGCGTAATACGCGCCCGGGTTCGTGTCCATCTTCTCTAGCACATCCGCTACTGTCACATTCGGATCGTTGAGCGACGGCGTGCGATGCGCGTTCATGATCCATCCGGTGGATATGATCTTCGGCCCGTCGTCGCGCCAGTTCTTGAGGCTCGGGATGCCGGGAATGCTGATGAGCGCGGGGCCCAAGGCGCCCTTGGGACCGAAGTTGATCGTGCGCGTGACCGGCATATAGATGCTCTCCATTCTTAATTCGAACTTCACGTTTACCGCGTCCGTAGTTCTGAGGTGGACAGCAGCGAGGGGAGGTAGGGAAGCCCGGGGAAAGGGGGGCGTGGGAGGAAGGGACGAGTTCCGGGAGTTTTCACTCGGTCGGAAAGTCATGGTTGGTGGGTGCGAGGGGCAGTGAACCAATGAATCTCCGCGTTTTCCGCGTGTACGGTGAAATTTCCACGGCAACGCAGGATTAGACTGAAGGATTAGATTTGTGCGACTCACACCGTAAAAATGCCGCATGATGATGGGTGGACTACTAAATGTGACTTCTCACCATAACACGCGAATCTGGAAGTATTCGACTCAGAAGCCAGAGCAAACTTGCGCTTGAACGCGAGGCCTCTCACCTAAAGACGCGGATTTCGAGGAATCCGTCAGCTTGCCGTCGGCCGAAGGTGAAGGCGGGAACTTTCTCCTTCTCGAGACTTGTCTGCAGCTCGCCTGACGGAGGAGCATCCGGGAAAAAAGCGATGCCACGTGGGGTTCAGTTAGGAAAACGGGACCAGCCGCTCACTGAGGACGTGCACTGAAACTGAATAGAATCAACGTTGAGAACGAAATATTAGGGTGGGATCATCTAGAAATGGCAGAGGTGTTTGCGAGGCGTCTTTTACTGACGCACGAAGCGACAAGTGCAATCGCATCGCCGGAGTTAGAATTCTAAAAGCACGTACTGATTTGTCTGCCGGGAGTCTTGTGCGCGCTGCCCGCGCAGCTCACTCTCCATGCCGCCACGTCCGTCGTTATCGAAGCGGCCAGTACGAGAACCAGTGCCACAATTAGTACCGTGCGGACTGCATTGTAGGAAAACAGGAATGGAAGACGAAGTTTGATTCATCTACTGCTCGTCGCAGGCGCTGGTGGAACGAACAGAAGAGCGGCAGTGTGCATTGTGTGAGAATCGATGACGAGTGGATGTGCCTCTTACCGTTGTGATGAGTCATTTGATGTATCAATTAATAATCGCGAAACTGAGCTGTCTCGTCTAAGCTATTTGAAGACTTTCGTCGACGATTTGTGTCTAGCGCGTTTGCAGTCGCGAGGTCGAGCAATCGTTATTGCGACGGGTAGAAAGGATGCGACGGGTAGAAAGGATGCGACAGGCCGTTGAACACACGTATTTATTTCGCGTCATGTAGCAGTTGGTCTGCGCCTGCTGTTTTTCGGTGTCCCTTCGCTGGGTATTACACATGGGCCAGTGTCGTCCTTGTCGGAAATTCTGTCGTCGACAAGTCAGTCTAGGGGCGACGTCAGGTTACACATTTCTCATGTGTTAACACATCTTGAAACGTGGTTCAGGACGGTCCAACACGGTGAAAAGCGGTTATCGAGGCTTACCGCTTTTCACCGTGTTGAAACAAATTTAACCGTAGTGGACGTACAAGAAGTTGTACAACCTGATGTCGCCAGGGCGAATATTATATGTCTCACGCGCGAATCCCAATGTGTCGGTTGGTGGCTTGTAATTTTGTAGCAGCCTTGTGCGATTCGGGGCGTGGAATGTGCTCATCTTTTCATCACATTTGGCACGTCACTAGAATACTGGCGATTGAAGCTGACGAGAATTCGTCCGCGATCTTCACGTCGCATGGACATGCGCCGGCAGCTGTTGCGAAACCAGATCTGATTTCGAGAATGGGATTACCGTGAGACGGCTGTCAGGGGAAATTTGAAACTTGGGGGATTGTAAGGAAAATCCCTTTTCCTTACTTCGCATCCCTGCTCAACGCGTACATCACTCTAGCACCTCAGTCAGCACCGTTACCACTCGCGATCATCGCATCGACAATCATCCCGCCATTTTTCGCACATCGCATCCCGACCTCACGGCTCAGCTGGTAACCCGCGCTCCGGGCCTACGCCTCGACACTTTCCCTACCTCAGTCCCAGGCTCGTCGCGCGACTACCACAGACCATTACCGTTACCACTGTAGTTTCGCTATATATTCTTCGCTCACGCCCTCGCTCATTGTATTCTTGCTTCGATAGTGCAATTCTCGTTCGTTCACTCAATTGCACTCGTAACACTTGGTTATCAGAGCCTACGATCTCAGCTCGGACCGCATCCACACCTTCGCTTCCCCACTATCTCAATTTTTTGGGGGGGGTAGACGTCTCTCAGCGATACAGCACCGCCGCTCGTAGTGCTCTCTTGCAAGCACGCACGGCCACGACCGAGGCTCTCGCTGAGCTTGCCCGACACGCCCGCCATGGCCGATTTCACGCTCGCCACATTAACGCAGGAGCAACTTGATCGTCTCGTGCGTCAACTGGAAGATTCAGCGCTCGAAATCGCGACGCTCACGGCGGAACGTGACTCCGCCCGTCAACAGTCCACGGTGAACGTTCCGACGACATCACACACACCAACAAATTGTATCGGCACATTCGGATGAACCGATCGTCATCTCGTCCAGCACACCAACACAACACGACAGCATGGGACAACGCTCAGGCACAACCAGTAATGGCGCCGCCCAGCCAATGCCTGGCATGGGAGGAAAAAGGATCGCACCAAGCCCGCGGGAGCCCCGAGAAGCCCGTCGGCACGTGGAATTTGCGGCGACAAGTGGCGAACAAGCCATCATGGCTTCGACCCAAGCCAACGCGGCGGTCCGACGGTTCAATCGTGGGTCTTCACGATGAACGTCTTCTTCGACGCAAATTACGTCGAGTCGGACGCCGCGAAGATCCGGTATGCAGTTTCACTGCTAAGGGGCCCCGCCATGGACTGGTGGCGAGTCACCGTCGCACGAAGCGGAGCGGGTGGACCGTTATGTCGGAGGGCTAAAGCCGGATATCTCGCACGAAATAATGTTGCGCGGACTCTCTAATTTTAACGAGATTCTCGCGCTCGCCGAGAAGATCGACATTCTACGCCGACCGAGACCGGGGTCCTATTACGGACATCGCCCTCGGGGACCGACCGAGCACGCCACTGTACACGCCGTTGCAACAAATGCAGCTGCCGCACCGTTTAAAGGGCGCTGCTTTGCTTGCAACAGGCCGGGCCATCACAAGAGCGAATGCCCAGAGGAGCTGAGGCGCCGAGGAGCAGAGCAGGGGAAGGAGTCTCGGAGGCAGGGAAACGCCAGCAGTCAGTAGAAGTTGGGCCAACTACTGACGAGACTGCCTGCTCGCCCAACCACACCGACCCTCACCGAGTCACAGTACCGATTCACGCCATCGATCGGGCTCGGATGAATAAGGAGGGTACAGCGACGGATTGCCCGGTACTGATCTACGGGAAAATACATGGAGCAGCAGTGAAGATTTTTATTGACGGGGGAGCAAGTCACAGCTTAGTTAATACCGCAACCGCACGGAAATTACAATTAACACTTAACCGATGCTTACCTGAGATAGATGCACGCTTAGTCGACGGAACGCCACTAGCCATACGGGAAAAGGTGGAGCGAGTAAAAGTCCGCTGCGGAGGAAACTTCGGGTTTACACAGGAAATGCTCGCAACGACACTGGATGGGCACGACATTTTACTGGGACGTGATTGGCTGCGACGGTATAACCCGCGAATTGACTGGACGACGGGTAGCTGCACAGTGCGAAATAGTGGTAACTGGGTCGTCCTACCTCGCTGGCAGCCAACCGAGTCTTCGACGGTCCATGTCAACGCCATCACGATGAAACGGGCTGTCGCTGCTGGAGCTGACGTGTACGCAGTGGATATAGCATTAGTGCAAGAAGAGGAGCTGCCGAGCGATTTTCAGAAACTATTGGCAGCTGTACCACCCGAACTTCAGGCACTACTGAAACGATTCCCGGGTATCTTTCCGGGTGACTTACCACAAGGGCTGCCACCTCAGCGGGCGCATGACCGTAGGATCGAGTTAGAACCGGGGGCACAGCCAACTGTACAGCGCCAGTTCAGACTGACACAGCCCGAGCTCGACGAACTAAGGAAGCAGTTAGATTATCTGTTAGAGAAGCAGTTTATCCAACCGAGCTCGTCACCGTTCGCCGCACCGATACTGTTCACACCGAAAAAAGACGGAGGGTTTCGCATGTGCATCGACTACCGAGCGCTTAACAGGGTAACAGTCAAATCACGGTACCCCATCCCCCGCGCCGACGAACTGATCGACCAGTTACGAACCGCACGGGTATTTTCGAAAATAGACTTACGAGGAGGTTACCATCAGATTCGGGTCGAACCATCGGACTGCGCCAAGACAGCATTTAGAACTAGGTACGGGTCATTCGAGTATACGGTGATGCCTTTCGGGCTAACCAACGCGCCCGCCACATTTCAAATGACCATGAACGAGGCGTTTAGGCCACTTTTAGATAAATGCGTGATAGTTTACCTTGACGACATTCTCGTTTACAGTCGGGACAAGCAGCAGCACTTATTCGATCTCGAAGCAGTTTTTAAAATTTTAGCGGAACATCGGTTAATCACCAAGGGCTCCAAGTGCGAGTTTTTTCGGGACAGGCTAGAATTTTTAGGACACGTTATTTCGGAGGCTGGAGTTGAAATCGACCCTAAGAAGCTGGATACTGTCAGCGCGTGGCGTCCCCCGACGAACATCACGGAACTGCAGAGTTTTTTAGGGTTCGTTAATTACGTCCGTCGGTTCGTCCCCGACATGGGACGCTTAACAGCCCCACTCACAGATTTACTGCGTAAGGGGGTCGTTTTTACGTGGGGGGAGAAAGAGCATGCTGCCTTCTCTACCCTGAAAATTGTTCTCTGTTCACCACGCGTCCTACGCATCGCTGACCCACATCGCCCCTTCGAGGTTGTTATAGACGCGAGCGACATCGCCATCGGAGCCGTACTGTTACAGGACTTCGGCAACGGCCTCCAACCCATCGCCTACGAATCACGCAAACTGCATCCGCCTGAGCGAAATTACCCGATACACGACCGCGAAATGCTCGCGATCGTGCATGCATTCAAAGTGTGGCGCTGCTACTTGACCGGCGCAGACGTGACAGTATGGACAGAC